GATAACATATGTGAAGTTATTGTAGCATCATGTGCGACAAAACATTACTGATTTTTCAGGGTGATGACAAACTGGCCTAGAAGTTACAGTTCCCATATAGAATCTGTTTCAAGTGCAGCATAGCAGGTTGTAGAACATGTTGATATGTGGATTGCTTTAATCCAGGGGTAGGCAACCTTTCCCCTTTAAGGGCCGAGGGACTTCAGCTCCCAGAATCCCAGGAGCTATTGGCCAACATGGGACTATTGGCCAACACAGCTGAGGCTTCTGGGACCTGAAGCCCCTCGGCCCTTAAAGGGGAAAGGTTGCCTACCCCTGCTTTAATCATTTGGAGAGTCCTCAAGCTGTATGATAGCCATGTGTTATTAAAAGCAATGTATTAGAAGGTCTCTGTATTGCAAGATGCTATGCTACTCTTTTTCATGTACAACAGCTGCCACATGGAGGCTGTTATGCTGTCTCAGTTGTAATTATTAATTTATTTTAAAAGATTGTATGCCACCATTAAGAGGAAATCCTGTCCATGCATTTTCCAAAGTTTCATGTGAATACAATAACAGGAAAATAAATTGCATTCAAAATCAATTAATTAAAACCCACTACAAATTAAAACGTACCATCTGAGAAGGGGAAAAAAAAACCATCATCCAGTATTTAGCAACAGTAGGTAAAACTTCTCTATCCATAAAATGTTAACAGACAAAAAGGCCAGAGAAAACAAATGCTACTAAAGAGCTTTTGCAAAGGACTGTTGGTGGGGCCCAACATACCCAGTTTGCAATGTATTCCACCACTATGGGTTCACAGCAAAGAGATCCCACTGCAGATCCTTGAAAGTACTTGGCCCCAAACCATTAAGTTTTTGAAGGTAAAAATCAGCATTTGAAATTGGCTTGGAAATCTAGTGGCACCAAGCTATCATTCCTCCACCACTTGCTGTATTCTGCAGTAGCTGGCATGTCTGTACTATATTTAAAGATATTTAAAGATTGTACAGAAAGTCACTTATTTAAAGATTTTTTCTGTGTCTGTTTTAAAGCAGTGCCTTTAGAATATTTAGACCCAGTTACACGCTCTCAACCTCAGAGGAAGGCAAAGGCAACCCCCCTCTAAACAAATCTTGCTAAGAAAACCCTGTGAAAAACTCACCTTGGGGTGCCATAAGTTGGAAACAACTTGAAGGCACACAACAACAACAACAACAACAACACACTGATGGATTGATTTATATTCTGCCCCAAATTATGTTTTGTGTATGATGCAACAAATGGAAGGCTGTCATGATGCCTATGCTGGAGAGATGTGCATACAGATAAGGCTTTTTTTGAGGATGCTTTCACCTACATTTTTTGTTGTTGATGTTTTCAAATCTATCCAGATAAATTCTCCAAATAAACTGGTATGGTATAATTTTATACCTGAAGTTGTGCTCTAGTGTAAAAGTGGGAGGGATTATTCCTATTACTTGTAGGTTATGGGTATGAACTTCTCCCTGAACTCCAGTTCAAAAAATGATCAGATGGGGATAATTCCCTGTGCTTTCACAGGTAAATCCAATTCATTCCCATTTACAAGATTAGGTCTAAATGAGATGAACGTTTCAAGTGGCCTCCTGGTGTGCAGTTGCCCCAATGGGTACACCAGAAACAGGAATGTATGTTTAAGACACACACAATGAAATCTGGTTCCTAAGACAATTTGACTTTGAGATTACAGCTTGTCTTTCATTTCTATGTCTTCTATTCCTACTAATTTTAAAGAAATACAGCTAAAACAAATTTACATTATTCCTTTCAGAAGCATTTGATTTTATTATCCATGGATCAGTTAAGGAAGTTATAGGTTAATTGCTCACTGTACTGCATTGGCTAACCCATTTGTACCTTGATGTGTCATTTTATCTGCTACAGATACCAGGGCATCTACATTATGTAGAATATGACTATAGCTAGCATTTTTTTTGTTCAAAACTGGCCATCAGGATGAATGTTGCATCCCATGCTGCGGTGCTTCCAGTTTGAGAGAAACAAGATTGTATTGAGTCCATTCATGTGTCATTCTACTGTGGATAGAGAAGTGATTGTACACAAGGCATCTGGACATTCATGAACGTAGGGCCCAAGTGTTTTTTTTATTCTATTTCTAAATTTAATGACTCCCTTTCTTGCTTCCTTTATTGTAGAAAATTTAGTATCCACCAGCCCACTGCTGGACTGGCTCTTCACTAAAGGCTACAAGAGCAAAATCTACAATAACAAAGTCTTAACCCTTTTCGGACATGCAACCTGCACACAATCACACACACATATTCTGAAGATTTCTCAAAAGGTTATTTCATGTTTTAGATAGTCTTGTGAGAATTAGACCAAAGGAAGGTTGTTTGTTGAGCATAGCCAATTAAAAAAGCCATAGAAATAGTGAGATTGAGGTCACACTCATTCTCTCCAGAAAGGAGAAGTCTCTGTGCTGACTTGAGGGTGGACATTTTCCTTGAGATTTGTCTGCATCAGAAGCTAAGATTGTGTTACATGTGCACACTTGAGCTCCATGCAGGTCTGCTGACGCAGCATCATCACTTAGTGCTGGGGTCATGTTTGGAGCCCATGAATAAGCTCACACAAGGAGCATTCCAAGTTTCACCCCAAAAAGAGGTTTGACTTTGTTGCATACTGGCCTAGGTCCAGAATTCCTCCCCCACTTAGGAGATTAATAGCCCTTGGCAGCAGCAGCTTGAGAAGAAAGGGGCCATTGTCTTCTATCTCATTCCTTCTTAGGGGGTATAGGCGAAGGCGATTAGTTGGAAGGAAGGAGTAGGTTGCTGCAGCTCGCCACCAGCACATGCCTGGCCCAGTGCCTAGCAAATGGGGGTGGGAGAGGAGGAAGGCAAGGGGCTGGCAGTGCTTGATCAGCTCTCCCATGGTGTCTCTGCTGAAAGGAACAAGGAGTCATCTTAACTCTTAGTTACACGGTACCTACTTGTTCCTTTGGTGTGCTTTGCTTTAGTCAACCAGGTGTGATAACTCAGCTGCTCAAACTAAAGCTTGTGAACCATTCATTCATTCAGTCATTCATTTGAAGTATATATAACCTTCCCCCAGCCAAAAACGCTCACACAATGTAAGGCTCAAGGATTGGTTGACTTCCTTGGATTGTTAAGGATTGATTGACTTCCTTGGAAGCATGAGCTTGGGTTCAAGATGATTCAAAATATACCTGCTCTTTGAAGAAACATGATACTTCTCTGACTGATTTGGATTTCAGGAACCAATTTAGATCTTTAAATCTTCCTTCTCTTCTTTATAAGCTTGCACATTTTCATTAGAAATGTGTAGGGGGAAGAATAAAGAAAGCTATGTGTACGGTTACAGAGGAAAGAGAAGTGCTGAAAGGAATTCACTTTTCAAAAATCTCATAAATTTTAAGTATAAAGAGATCCTCATTTTCTAAAGCAGTAAGCAGTATATTTGCTCCATACTTGTTTAAATACCCCCTCCTCTGTTTTACGATGCTACCTGCATGCAACCTGTTCAATCATACAAGAACTTTGGTGTATCTGGGTTTTTTTTGACAAACATTCAAATTTGCACTCTTTGAGAATGTTTACGTCAATTGAGATTGAGAGTACTCATTAAAATTTAAGCAGGTTCTTTGTTTCCAGCCTTGTGGCTGGGAACACATAGTACGGCCAGTCAATGGCTGCTCCTGCAGAAGCTTCATTCAGAAATAAATGAGAGCTGCATGGCAGCTGTGCTTGGCAAATTGTGCTTACAGAACTCATAATACTATTGAATTACAAATACAGGTATAGTAAAGAAATAGACATCGGGGAAATGACATTTTTTCAGGGTTTGAAACCTAAGTCAAGTATCCAATTAAATGGATGCACATGCTGAAAATGTTTGAAAATGGTCAGACCTGGATGATGCTTTCGTTGTGCCATAAACATTCACAGTTCCAGTTTTTGCTTCCTTTTTGTTACTTTATGCTTGCACTTCCTCAAATTTGAAAAGGTAATTTGCACTTTATACATTTATAAAGGAGCTGGTGGCTTGCAGATGGCAGCTGCTGCATCTTCTGTGATATCCCGGCAGCCTAAAAATGGCCACCCTAGACATTGTAAGAGGAGAGTACTGTACCAACCTAGTCTCAAGGTCATATGTCCTATCTGCTTGCTTGTGTTAAACTGACAACTGCCCCCAAGGACTTCAGCAGAAGAAATAGAAGCAGAGGAAACAGGCCTGCAATTAATATTAATGACATTCGATACATGGGCAAAAAAAACCACCTGGCTCCTCTTTCTGGATTGAAGGGAGGCCTCTGGATTGGATAGGGTACAGCAGCAGCAGCTGGTTGAAAAGGAGAGGCTAGTGTTGTATGATATACAATGATTCCCAAAAGGGGGTTTCCAGTTTCTTATTCTCACAGTCCTGCATGTGGAACTGAGTTTCATTATGTCTCTGAGAACAGTATTGTTCCTGTGGTGGAGCTAACATTTGGGGGCCTTTCCTGGGGCAACCATTTCCTTTGCTGGTCTCAAATTCATCTACTTTCCCCCCATGCTTTGCTTGTTGACAACCAAGAGCAGAAGAGTTGTGACCTGAGCTCTCTGCATGCAGCCATCTGAAAGTGTCAGCCCTCCTTGGTTCCCTTTTTATATGGACTGGCAACAGATTATTCTTAGGAAGATTTGAGGTGGTTTTTTTTTGAGGGCAAGGGCTTGATCTTTGAATGTGGGTAAAGAATACATGTATTCAGCTGCTCTCTAATGATGAAGATAGGTTTGCTGTATGTTTTTGAAGTCCGAGGGAAAGTGTGGTTGTAGATCATCAGGTTTTTACATGTAAATCAAACCCCAGACACTTATCTTTCTAGGAGTAGCTTCAAGACATTCTTTATTTAGCCATGCAGTGTCCCAGTAAGGAAAGCAAGCATGATGGAATAATCTGGAATCAGAATTGTTAAGGGGTTTTTGACATGGCCCTAGTAACAAATTGGGAGTATCAATGTGGCATAGTGGTTTGAGCATTGGACTACAACTCTAGAGACCAGGGTTCGATTCCCAGCTTGACCATGAAACCCATTGGGTGACCTTGGACAAATCACATGCTCTTAGCTTCAGAGAAAGGCAGTGGCAAACCTCCCTTGAACAAATCTTGCCTTAGGGTCACAATAAGTAAAACAATGACCTGAAGGCACACAACAAAAACAAATAATAGTCCCCAACCCATCTAGGTGCATTCCTTAGCATCCCTGTATCATTCACAAGCTTTGTAAGTGATGAGGATTTCAGATTGTTGCTCGTTACAAGTTATGCTCTCAAGATGTATATATAAAGTCATACATATTCTGTGTGTACATACTTGGAAAAGATTGTTGGACTTTGGCAGAGTATCACGTTTAGAGAAATTGGTTCCAGGGAGCCACAATCACATAGAATGATTTTAAGAATTAAAATATAGAATTATCTTAAAATCAATGATTTATTAGGGAATAGCAAATATTATGGTAGAGCTTCAATAATGCAAACAATAAGTGTATAAATCACATCTGAAAACCCGTATTTCCGGCATATGAGCCTATCTGAGTATTACGATCTTCACAGGAGTGCTTTCTGGTGCTGACATGGGAAAGCCTTGGTAGCTGGTCCTAGACTTTGACTCCCTCCCAAGGGAGGCTTAATTGGTTCTCTCTCTACTTTCTTCTTTGCTGACAGACAACAGGCTTTCATTCTTTAACTAGTTAGGTTAGAAGGACGTGCAGTATGTATGATGCTTTTTATATGTAATATTTTAAAATGTATTTTTAATTATTTTTATATTAATTATTTAACTGAATTGATTTGTCGTGTTTTTAAAACTTTGATACCACATCTTGTTTTAGCCATTTCATTTTCATTTACATTGTAACCCACTTTGTACATTGTAAACTGGTGCCATATGTGGTGAAAGGCATGTTACAAATTAATCAATTAATTAAATAACTAATAAAATTCAATGCTCCGGATGGGGGGGGGTATTAATTCAAAGAAGCAGACAGTGGCTAAGTCTGTGTGCCGCCCAAAGGCTGCAGCAATCATATTATCCAAAGGTGTGTGAAAGTTCTCCTAGCTACAGGACCTTTCAGAATCAAAGCTAGGTACAGTAGTACTCTCAGCACTTAGAGGGCACCTTGTGTTTGTGCATATGTGTTTTAAAGTCATCTGTTGACATATGGGGACCCCATGAGTTTCATAGGGTTTTCTTAGGCAGGGAGTCTTCAAGAGGGTTTTCCTAGTTTCTTTATCTGAAAAATAGCCCACAGCACCTGATATTACTTGTTAGTCTCCCATTCATGTACTATCTAGACCTGACCCTGCTTAGTTTCCAAGATCAGATGGGGATCTGGTGCTTTTAGGGTATTTAGGCCCTTGACGGGCACCTTATATACACCATACTCGTAAATAGCTGAATTCAGGGAGAATTCAGTCCATCCAGAACACAAGAAGTAACCCTTTCTGCAACAAGTTACCTATTGACTAATAGCATCTCCTTTGTGGATTAAGCTCCATGTATTAGCTTATATCCAATCCATTTGTAGTTGAACATCTCCACCGCTTCTTTGGGGGAAGATGAAAATGACAGCAATGGATTTCATCTGCCTTTTCATCAGATCACCAGGCATTTTCATGTTTGGTAGTTTCATGCAGTCAGAACAAGGGACACATTCCTTGTCCCAGAGGCCAAAGATCCAAAGAGTGCTCCTTCAGTGTCACTAACCAGAACACAACACAAGAACCATGCAACAACAGATTGACAAATGCAGGACTGTGACTAACATTGTCATATACTTTTTAAAAAATTATCCTGTATGATTTTTAACACCTTTGCCTGATGAAGAAGCCAGTGACACTTCGAAAGCTTACATCATGTATTTTGTGCATTTTGGTTGGTAAAATAAAGGCATCACTATTTTGTGGATTTTTGATGTTGTTGTACATTGTTAAAGAGCCAACATGGCTATCCTTAAACATAATAACTAGTTCTCCTAGTGTGATCAGAGCAAATGTTATTTCGTGATTCACTGCCAACCTGGTTAGGTAGTCCAGAAGAATACAGTTGGCCCTTAGTATCTGTGGGAGCTCTGTTCCAGACCCCCCTATGGATATCAAAAACCGTGGGACCTCAAATCATGGGGGTTTTAATGGTGGCATGCATGTATGTGGCTATATGCATGCACTGCCATTAGGGATGCTTAAATCCATGGATGTCAAGCGACAGTTGCCATGGGTGGGCTGTACCACACTGTTGAAAACCTGTGAGAGATCCAGAGAATAAACCGGTATACATCCCAGTTCTTTCTGCACATTGTGTACTAAAGCAACCAATTCTCACATTAGAGGAGAATTTCTTCAGCACGCATTACTATATGTTCCTTTAATAGTGTTGCCTTGCAATCTAAGTATATATCAACAATTTCATCCATTTGGACAATGCCAATGTGGCTGCTTAAGTAGATACATTGAACAAGGGTTGCATATGGAAGTCAAGCATTTTAAGAATCTTGTCCACTACTTTAATCTGAGCAAGCTGAAAGATATCTATTACAGTACAACAAGCAGACACTTTACACTGCTTTACAGACTTGTAATTAATCTGGAGTCAAAAGTTGAAACAGATCCAAGTGATATTACTCACAGAGTGCTGTACAAATTGATCACAGCATATCATGATAGGTTCCTCTGCAGGCCTGCGTGCTCTTTACCTCTTGAAGTGGCTCTGCTGAGCTGCACTGAGGGTTGAAAGCAGAGAGAGGTATGATTTTAATTTTCCTTCCATACTTCTCATGGAGCAGGCTTTAATATGGGCTCTAGCCTATGTTCAGTTGGATTTGTTGCAGTACTCGTCTGTTATTGTTCTAATCCCTGATGTTTTATTGTCTCTAATGCCATAGTATTCTGTGGAGCTGATGGGCTCTTGTAAGTAGAGGTTTGAGACTGATTGTGTCAATTGCCTCCATCATTTCCTCATTCCAGTATTTCACTAAGGATTCCACAAAGTATGGATGGAGAGATCAGTTTACGTCTGTTCCATGCAGTTTCTGTGTGTGTGCCAAACTACTGATTCTGTCCCATTCTGTAATGCAGATTCTTAAGAAATAATCCTACAAAAATCCCTCAAAGGTGAACAAATTTAATATTTTTCTTGAAATTAAATGTTCAAGATGTTCTTACAAAAAGATCAAACACTTGACACACTTCCTTTTGCTGCTGCCTCTGTCACTTCTCCTCTTCTTCCTCTTCCTAGCTTCTGGGGAAGCAGTGAAAATGGTACTGTGGTTATCCTACTTAGAGACTCCGGAGATTACCACACATGGCTTTTAAACCACAATTTCCCTAGGAAGGAAGAGGCTTTGGTGATACTGATCGCCTGATGATAACTCCTACCCATAGGTGCCCTGTCCCCCACCCATCCCTTTTCATTCATGGGGGAAGCCCATGAATGACCTAGCAGTTGCACAATGCCACAGATGCGAAAATGCCACTGAGACAGTTGCGTGATTTCCAGTCATGTAGTGTCAGTGTCCTTTCCTCTCCCTCTTTCCTCCTCCTGCTCACTACCCCCCCCCCCGGTTTTTCATGCAATTCTGGAGGTCTTCAGCCTCAATTGAAGTTTAAAAAAAGTTTAAAAGCTTAAATCACAGCTGCAAAGCTATGGAATTGTGCAACAAGTTGATTTAAAAAAAAAACTAAAGGCAGGTTGGGTAGGGCATAAGAGAAGGAGGCAGGGTTAAGGGAGAGGGCAGGAAGGGAGAGGGCAGGAAGGGAGCCACCCCTGTTGCGTGAAGGGGTGAGAAGGGGTGTGGTGATGGTTGCTCTACAAGGGGTATGTTACCATTTTAATTTAATTGCCTGACTGAAGTGAGAAAGGGGCTGGTGTGATAAAGCACTCAGCTTCATGAGTTTGGAAAGCAAAATGTTGATTTGCGGGTGGCGGTGGCGGTGGCGGTGGCGGTGGCGGTGGCCGGGCGGTGGGGGTCTGCGGGCTGGGTGCAGCCCACGGGCCGTAGGTTGCCGATCCCTGGTTTAGAGGCTGTCAGCCAGTCCTGGATGGGCTTACACTCCCTTTGAAAGACTGTGTTTGCAGCCTGGGAGTGCTTCTGGATCTGTTACTCTAAATGACAGCGCAGTTAGATGCAATGGCCAACAGTGCTTTCTATCAGCTTTGTTACATCAGCTGCACCCACTGCTGGAACTGGAGGACATAAAGATGGTAGCGCACAGACTGGTAATCTCAAGGTTGGACTTCTGCAATGTGCTTTATATGGGGCTACCTCTGAACCAAGTATGGAAACTTCAGTTAGTTCAAAACATGGCAGCCAAACTGGTTACTGGCAAATATAGGAGTGATCCTATTGCACCAATATTAAAAACACTCCACTGCCTGCCAGTTAGTTTCTGGGCAAGGTACAGAATGTTGGTTATTACCTTTAAAGCTCTGTAAGGGTCCAGGTTACCTGTGGGATCACCTCCTCCTGCATAATCCACCCTCTACACTCAGGTTCTCTGGTGGACATTTATTCCAGTCAGGCAGGACTAGGTTGGCAGCTGTCACCCAGAGGACTTTTTCTTCAGCCATGTCTGGACTGTGGAACGACCTGCTGGAAATGATTCTTTTCTTTTCTCTTATTTTAAATGCACTCATTCACATACTTTCATGATCCTATCTGTAAGAAAACAGTCAATAACACGGAAGGGCAGGATTCCATAGTCAATTGAGACAAGCCCCATTATTTTCATGGAGGTTATGAATTCTTGAGCCATATAAGTTGTAAGAATGGCCTTTCATTAGTAGAACTTGAGATTCAGATTTGGCGTATAGGAAATTGTGGCCTTATTTTGTGAAAGAATTGCATATTATCTCTGTAGGCAGGTAAGGTAATATCAAATGTTTGTAGGTAGGTAATCCTACAGCTGGTGTATTCTTAAGTCTGAACAGGAGCTGAAAGTTTAATATGCTTGCCTGGTGCTGTGGCCAAGGTCCATTCATGCAGAGTGGGCTCATTAATAATGTTCACTTTAAATCAGTTTAGA